GAGAGAGAGAGAGAGAGAGAGAGAGAGAGAGAGAGAGAGAGAGAGAGAGAGAGGGCACATCAGTGGGAATCCGCAGCGCATCCGCAAGTGGGAGGTGGAATGGTTACCTCAGTTTCATATCAGCTTCGTATCGCGTCGCGCTGGTCGATTCTCATCATAGACGTAAGAATATATGGACGTAGCATATTGTCGCGGGGATGAAGCCCAAGAGGTGAGGGGAATGATTGTATGTATCCCAATGGAGTTGACATTCCATGATGGCGACGGTCGCTGTTTCTATACAGACAATAGATACAAACCTCCAACACCATGATGGCCGCGACGATGTAATCCTCTTACCCCTTGGGCTTCACAGCCCCTCGTCTATAATCGCACTTTGCGCTTCGTCCATGTATTCTTACGTCCATGATTCTCGTAAATGCTGGCGGCGCTTTGACGAAGAAGATGCGCGAAGAGGGCGTCCGCGTCGCGCAAGGATACGCGAAGCGAGCTTCAAGGACAAGTTGGCCGATAGGCGGCGAGGAGGACGGGAGCGTCGCGCAGCGACGGCGCGCTGTAAGCGCTAAGCTAAACGACTGTTTCGCAACGAATGGAGCCGACCCGCGTGCCCCGGGGTCCAGGTCCGCGACTCGTCTTCCTTTTTGCCACGCTCGCGTTGACTGTCGCAGGTAACGAGAGATATAGAGAGACACGTAACATCAATTTCACTACTTTCTACATGCGAGAGAGAGAGAGAGAGAGAGAGAAAATTAAGGTAGAAACGTATCCCTAGCGCGTCTTGTATCGGCGTGTTCGATACAGAGAAAAGGAGGAAGATAGATATATAAAGAGAAAGAGAGCGAAACGAAAATCTTTTTCTTCTCCACATTGAATTCACCCTGTCATATTGAGTTTATTTCGTAAATAAATGTTGAAATATACGAAAATGTGCGCGCAACACGTTTGCCATCATTGCACATCGATCCAAGGGAAACGCCTACGAGGTGCAAGCGAATAATTATATTTCGCTTCTTATGCAATTTGCTTTCCTTTGGAAACAAGCACAAACCATCGACAGCACGCTCGTGTGTGTAAAAAAATAGTAATTTACACACACCAGCACACTCGCCGGGCCTGTTAAATTCCGCGCACTGCATCAAGAATCACTCAATCTTCGCAATTCTAGTAGCAAAGAAAATGTGTTTACTGTTCGTATGTCCTCTGACTTTTATCGTACAATCGCATATTCTCTTTCTCTTTAGCAACGGGGCTGCTGTGCAGTGCGATAATGTCGGACTATTGGGAGGAGATCGGTTGGAACAAGAAAGATCTTATTCGCGCGAATGTCAGCCTCACGTGGTACTTGGACGGCCAGGTGGCCATGCTGGAGTCTTCCGTTAATCATCGAGCTCATCACGTCGCCAAAAGCTCGTCCTTCTTGGTACCTATGCACGGTGGCATCTGGATCATGTGTGTTTCTTTATCAGGTACAAGTTATCTACTATCAGGTACAAGTTGTTTTTCAACGTAACTTTGCCGTTAAACAAACTCGACAAGCTTGCACAGACATTCATTCTCAACACTACATGCCAACACACTAGAATCGTTTTCGTCCGAGTTCGACTCCTTTTCTCTCTTTTTCTATCATTTTTAGACTAATCAACGATTATCTCTCGTTGTCGTAATACTGTTGTTTCCGTAGCAAAATTAAGAGATCGATCAGAGGAGGGTGGTGGAATCTTGATTTTGTAACAATTTCATATTTACAAAATGTCTTTGCATGAGAGTGGGATCGACGATACCAGTCGGAGATTTCTAAGAAATAGAAAACTCTTTTCGATACGATCGATTCCTACGCCAACAGCGCTACGTAACGATACGCTTGTGTGAGAAAAAGTAAAGGTATCGAAGAATTGATAGAATCGCGTTGCTCCCCGGATCCACAGAAAGGACCGAAAAATCACGGTCACGCAATCGCACGGATGTTCCGTCCCGTTTCGACACGGTTCGATATATTCACTCAGAGTCAAGGTAGCGCGCTTAAATATAGTCGGCCGTATGCACGCAAGACACCGCGCACCGAGACACTCGACAGTAGTGTCTTGCGACAAAAGATCTCTATCAAGTTTGCACAGGATGGTATTCAACGCCGTAAACCATGACACACTCTAATACGGTAAGATATAAATAATCTTTTAAGATACAGTCTTTCTCTCTCTCTCTCTCTCTCTCTCTCTTTTTTTATTTGTATGTATACACGCGCGAAAGTGAGAAACAAACGAGTTGGCACGGATTACTAGCAAAGCGACACGTGTGAACGATATATGTGTGATGCGCTGGCAGTGCTAAGCACTGTTTGGCGTGATCGTGCACCGCGAAAGTAATCCCGATAGAAAGAATTAAATTTTCAAATTATTCTTTAAGGTCGCACGATTAGACGAAAACGGTGAGGCAATGAAGAACTACAGCAACAAAGTTCCTTTGAGAGTGTTTTAGTCCTCTTTGATGTATAAATCCAATATATGTATAGAAAATTTCTTTCTGTTCATACCAGTCGATTACAATCGCGCTTTCTTCTTTCTCTCTTTCTTTGTTTTTTCCCTTTCTCGGAATCTCCGCTAAGAGGATATTGCGATCAAATTCTAATCTCGAGCACTTCTGAACATTTTGCCGTAGACTTTTTGTATAATTGATCGACAAACTTGTTTGCTGTTGGCCAAACGGTTAGCAGATTAATCGGATTATGACTAGTCGCTATAAAATTGCCCTGTCTTCACACTTATCCGCGATCGGTAAATTCATCTCGTGTAAAGATTTTCTCTATATTAATATATCGCGGTTGTGTATGAATAAAGCACACAGTTATGAGTTCAACCATCATCATAGATTTAAAATAAAGAAAACGTCAAGTAAAAGTCGCGCTTCGTTCTTCTAGAGGAAGAGATACAACTGCTAAGTCAGGTGGGTTTTCCACAAGAGAGATGCATCAATTACTTAACGCCGGACGAGGCGCACGAAGAGATACGCGCGGCTTGGCAAAATCGTGAGTAAATGTCAACTTGGTGTTTCCGTCATTGTTCAATCTTGAGAATGAGTTTCTCCTCCGCGCGCTTCCCTTTCGATGCACTTCATATTTAGCCATTTCTTTACTCGGAGTTTAGCGTAACAATACGATGATAATTTGAAATTCTCCACTCGCTGTTACGAATGCATATCCTCTGAATTTCGAACTCTGTTCTTTCCTTTCACATGCATTTTACGTCCTGTTTGCAGGAATGCAGAATCTGAGCATATCGTGCTCTTTGGTGTGTCTAATCATATTGGGTTGCGCTGCCCTCATAGGATTCTTCGGACTGTGCATGCATCAGATATCAGCTGTGCTAGTAACAGGAGTGATGTACCTTCTCGCAGGTAAAGTACTTTATGTTGCACCAATGAAATTTTACCCATCTCCCTTTCTTTTTGTTGCTGGAAAAATCACGTTTCGTTTCAGCGACGTTCGCGTTGTTTACGCTAACCATCATCCACTTCAAGAGGGCTCAGGACCATCGGAGTGGCGTCAGAACGGTGGAAGGACCCGAAGACGGTGTGATCGGCATGCCGGTTCTTCGTAGCATCCTCAAGGCCAGACGTTTTACTACAGCGTGGAGCATGGACCTGGGATGGGGCGGAGTGACACTATGCGCTCTCGCGTCAGTCGCTTGGATTCTCCTCAGCAAGATTATGCGTTTCAGCCCGATCGCCGCTATGATCGCGTAGCAGTGGGACGCCTTCGAGGTCTAAAGTCGTTTCTGGAGGAGAAGAAGGGGAAGATGCTAAGACGAAAGACGCTCATGCCGTTCCGGTGCTGCGATTCTCTTAGGTACCATTCCACTCCTGTGTGATTAGATTGATCCGATAGCATACTTGCCAAACATTCGCCTTTGTGGAATGCTCAGTCTGCTCAATTTTTAATATTTGTAGATACACCTAACGCGCGATATCCTATTGCGAGTTCTTTCATATGACACTATGATATATTTCGGGATATCCTTGCTTTTAATTGGAGTCAATAATTAAATGTAAATATTTCTGAAATGCTAGATACTTGTCGACACACTTCTGTACCCGCTCCCGAGGGGATGGAAATTTCACACATTTTGTACGCCTAAGCGCTGGGAGCCGTCACAGTCTTCCGAGGACGTAGAGAGGATTGCAGACCGGGACGGTTGTTACTCCAAAAAGAATACGTCCAGAAACGACCGTCTCGAAGGCGATAAGTTTTCACTTTGTATTATTCATCTCGTACAATAGTGAACCAGTCAATAATGGTGCAAGCGATAATACTTGGAGAACATGTTATAACGATAGAATGCCGTTTTCCAGCACCTTGCTTGCTTCATCTTTTCGCGGGCGTGAATCTTCCGACTAGCGAATACGATTTCAAGAATACATTGCGGATGATTATTGACTCGATAGATGGCTTGGAAGATATTTGACAAAAATGTTTCACTCCTCTTCAGCTAGAAGTGAAATTGGACACTTGGTTGGTTTCTGTTACTACACGACTACTCCCTGAGTTCATTCGTTTCAACTCGCAGTTAACTACGGTCAGAACAATGCTTCTACGAAACGTTACACTTGATGTACTAACGAAAAGGAGCACAGTGATACCACTCTATAGCATATATCTCTAGTTATCTCTGATATATCACGCCTTGTTACGATCAGAGCAATAAGTGTGAAGCATAGAGTAACGCGTAGAGCGACGCGAGCGTCAACATCTCCCAAAATACTAATTCATATTATCACATTATTACGGCAAAATATACGAAGAGAGAGGAAACCGCCAGGTGTCAGATTTGCAATTATTACAAGCAATTTTCATGTTCTGTTTAACAGACATAATAAGCTTTAAGGACAGCAGCAGAAAAAGTGAAACACTGAAGAACGATGCTAGAGAAAAACGTTCAACATCAAAGTCATTTCAAGTGAACAATTCAGAAAGAAAAAAAATTATTCACAGAAAGATGATGAGATTACTAGGAAGAACCTTTGAAAATTGCTAGCAGGATTTCTGAATAAGCTGTATCATATTTCATGATATGTGACATCAACTTCCAATTTTTCTGAAAACTTTGACGATATCTGTCGTGCTTTTGCAATGTAAACTTCTTTAAGTGGCAAACAAGTTTGCTTTTGTCATTATTTCATCCACTAAAACTTAAAAAATTGTTAGATCTCTCGTGGTATTGAATAGATTTAAGAAGAAAAGTCTCATTAGCAATGCTCTCATCTTGAAAGATGACGGCAACAACTAAACAATTCTGATTGCCATGTCTTTTTATGCAAGTTTTGTTGTTTGTTACATTGTGTATTTACATGAGAATGTAATAAAGAATATGCAACAAGTCAGTGAGTGAACAATCTCTGCATCTTCAAGACTACGACTGCGAAAGGAGATTGTTATTTCTGTACCACTTTAACTTTGATAAAACCAGTTTTTCTTTAATTTATCAGCCAGATTGTTTAAATCTCAAGTTGCTAGATTACTGTGAATATATATGCACATAACGTATTTGTATATGTGCGTATGGAAATTAATACATATATATCACATTGTTTCTAAACTACGAAACATTTTGGAACATATTTTACTGCAAAAGTTTGCTGTAAACATGCATGGATGAAAATGACGTAATAAAAACTTCGAATCGTTATTTTACTTTCACAACTTGGAATACTTTTTGAAACGGGTCGATAAAACTTTGTCGCACAAGGATTAATATGACAAACAACACACAAATTTAGACAATGCATCCCAATTGTGATCTGTCTTCGTTTCATTTCATTCGTCGAGGACAGACGCAAAGAAGTAGTATTTAATATGTAAATGTACTTTAAGTGTGAACGACAATATTCACTGTCGTTCGTTAGTTCTTTCCTACCTCAAACTCGAGTTCCAGGACGATGATTTTTGTTGTTTCTCCGACAGCGGTAACGACAACGATACCTCGTGAATCCGTAAAAAAAATTTGGAGGGAACTCGATCGTTGGTCACTGCATGCGCAGAAACAGCGCAAACGGTTGAGTTACCACGAGCTAACACGCGAGTCAACGCGGGCACGATTTTACGAGTGTATGTACGCGAATATACGTGATACGACCACCAATGAAACGTAGTTCTACCAAAAAGCGAAAGCTATCGTATTTACGACAAAGCATTGAAATGAACGCCTCTAGCGGAGGCAGCGATCAATTTAAGGCTCGTCTACAATAGGCCTGTTCTTTATAGCTGCACTACTGAACTAGTGCAATAAGTTAGAGTGAGAAAACATATATTTGTCTCACTTCAATATATTGCACCAATTCAGCAGTGCAGCTACAAAGAACAGACCTAATGTCTGTAAAGGTTGATTTATGATGGCCGTAATCCGTTAACTTATGCCGGAACCGTAAAAAATTGATCAATTATAGGTCGGTATGCACAGTCAGATCTTATATTTAAAACCTTAAGATCTTACCTTAAGAAACCTTAAGATTATATTTAAAACTTTTAGATCTTATATTTAAAGTCTTAAGTTTATCTTCAGGTGATGGACGGATCATTTCATTGGCTACGGAATATCTGAAGATGAATTTAAGACAATCTTAAAAATAAAACCCGACTATGAATACCGGTCATAGTCAAATTATAGAAGAATAATCGACTGTGATTGGTTAATTCTTTACAGTTCCGGCATAAGTTATCGAACTACGGCCATCATAAACCAGCCTTAATAGCTTGGTTTACATCATGCACTTGATACGCGTACTAAATAGTAACTTTCTATTAGATAATCTTAATATCGACGATACATATAAACAACGGTATATTAAGCTGGTATAATACTTATCAACAAAACGTATTGTATTGATTGAATGGGAGCGGTGCACTTGGACACGGTGCATTTGGACACAGCCAATCACAGCACCGTGTGATTAGAGACATTTGTAGGGTCCCTTGGAACAGCGACTTGTGATTGGACTGTGTCCAATTGCCCCGTGTCCAACTGATATACACCCGATTGAATACGTCGCCGTTGATATGCATCGATATTAAGATTATCTAATAGAAAGTTACTATTTAGTACACGTATCAAGTGCACGATGTAAACCAAGCCAATTGCTTCTGCACACAGGACGCAGTAATGGTTGCCGCGCGGTGGAAGTTCGCGCGACAGCCAATCAATATGTTGCTTTCCGTAATAACCTTCTAGCTCTTACGGAAAACCAACATATTGATTGGCTGTCGCGCGGACTTCCGCCGTGCGGCAAACATTATCGCGTCCTGTGTGCACGAGCCATTACCGATCGACGTCAAAATCGTCAAATCGACGTCGATTCGACGTCTTTTCAACGTCTATCGGTAAGTTATTTCTCACTGGGGGTAGGCCACCGCCATATTTGGTGATCATTTCCGACTTTTATTTCTCTCACCCCTGTGACTTCACTCCCCGCGAAATACGCTCCGTCCATGGCTGCGTTCAGAAATCTTACTCGGTGAGTAGAGTAACATTTAATTAGCCTATCAGAGCAAAAGGAACTAAGATTTATTTATTATGATTGGTTTATTAAAGTAATCTACCCATCGAGTAGGATTTCTGAAAATAGCTCAAAGTACCTATTATGGACTACTTCGGGTTAGGCGACAGTTTCTCGAAAAGTGAAGGGGATAATGTTGGTATCAAGGAAAATTTCTACACGATATAATTTAAAAATCCGTTCTTTGTAACTGCACTGCTGAACAGGTGCAATAAATTGAAGTGAAACAAGTATACGTTTTCTCATTCTAACTTTTTGCATTAGTTCAGCAATATGCAGTTACAAAGAACAGGACCCCTATTCTTGAAATAGTTGCGTATACGTAAGTTGTACTGCGCAGGTTTAATCATACTATAAAATAGCTGCGCAATGAAAATTACGTATACGCAAAAATTTCAAGAATAGGGGCCCAGATCTTTAAATTATATCGTATAAAGATTTTCCTTGGTATCAGCATAACCCCCCCCCCCCCCCATTTTTCGGGAAACTGTCGCCTAATGGCTCCTGCACACAGGACGCGGTAATGTTTGCCGCGCGGGGGAAGATCGCGCGACAGCCAATCAATATGTTGTTTTTCCGTAAGAGCTAGAAGGTTATTACGAAAAGCATCATATTGATTGGCTGTCGCGCGAACTTCCGCCGCGCGGCAAGCATTACCGCGTCCTGTGTACAGGAGCCATAACCCTTCTTCGGAATCAATTCCGATCGGAAACATTCAGTTATTTCCTAGATTTTATTGTCTTTTTTTAGGGGAAACGGAATTATTCCGATTGGAATTGACCCCGAAGAAGTCCATAATAGGGTACCAAGATATTCCTACGTCCATGGGATATTGCAACTGGAAAGCATTTCTTGTTAGTAATCTAGTTTAGTATAGACATCTAGGCTGCGTTCGGAAACATCACTCGAATATTCTTCCTCTTTTTTTATCTCACTCTTGTATCTCGCTCACTCCAACGTAACGGGTACATTTAGTTGACGTTTCCGAACGCAGCCTATGACTGGCAGTGAATTTCGGAACCCAGTCCTAGTGTGAATGCTCGTGTCTTCTTTGCAAAGTGTGTAAACGTTGTCAACATGGCGGACGACAACTTGCTCGTGACAATTTCGGGCGCGGCGTTATCGTTGCTATTTTTCGAAAATGTGCGCAGCGTCAATGATCAGGTAGAAGAATGATTGCACTTCATCCATATGGTAAAAATTGTGTCGTGACACTTGGTCCCACTGACAATTTCAACGCTAGAAATTTGCTTATCTCTCTCTCCGAAGCTAACCTAACCTAACCTCTAACATGTTAACCTCGAAGTGATACAGAAAGTGGAATTTTACAATGTTCCAGATGGGTTTTCTTCTCGGCGAAGCGCTCGAGTTTGTTATTAGGAGTTACACTGACTCCGACAACCAGGTGGAAACCACTAAAATTCATATCAGTAAGTATCTCTTTCCCTTCCCCCCTCTCTCATTCATACATACACACACACCACTCACTCGATGCTCGGACATTCAATTATACATGTAAACAATGCACCGTCGCTCGCTTTACCTCACTTTCCTCACCTTTCTTCTCTTTATTCTCTTCATACTTTATACACTTGTTGCGCTCTCGATCATTAATACTTTTATACACACAAGTTGACTATAAAAATGCAACAAAATAGAAACAAAAAATAATCGTATCTTTGAAAAAGATACTCTTTTTTATCAATTGCATATATTCGTCTGTGTAGACGTGGAAGCTATTGTGACGTGTCCTCTACTCGACATCCTGCACAATTCGACCGGGCGTATCAACAAAGAGCGACTAAAAGATTTTGTGAGCGACAAGAGCAAGCACGTGATTGGTTGGTTTCGCTTTCGTAGAAGCCCCATCGATCTAGTTCCCAGTCTTAAGGACAAACTGCTGCATAAGCAATTTGCTTCACATTTCTCGGGTGGAAACAGTTGCAAGGAGGAGTTCTTCCTCACTTGTCTTCTCAACACTTCCGCCTCTGACAGGCAGGGGACACACAAATTCCGGCACGTATTCCTCAGGCGCAAACGCGGGCAAGTATTCTTGTTGGAACTCGCGAAAGGATTAGATCCCAGTAGAAATGATTGGAAATTATTACATTCGAACTAAAGAGCGCACCGCATTCATCATGATGTATTTCATTTTGATCTCCCATTGTACAATTATCCTCATGCTGCATGTTGTAAGTTAATGTTTTGTTGTAGAATATTCGAACCAATATCTCTAAGAATAAATAATCTTGGAGACGATGCGTCTAGGCACGATGGCTCGGATTATAAGCCAACACCTGCTAGAAAATCTGCACGCACACCGGATGGCTTCACCGAATTGATAGAATCGCTCAAGTGAGTATATATAACCGCGAATTGTATATGCATATATTTTGCCAAATGTTTGATTTCAATATTCAATGTCCATTGAGTATTGTAAAAAGATGTATAAAATCAATCTGACACATTGCATCAAATTCAGATCCCACAATGTGTCTAATTGATTGTAATAATAATTCAATTAAAAATTAATAGTTTAATTAAAAATTCTCCCTTCCCTCAGTCTCGATTTAACGAGGGCCGGGGGCCTGGACTCCGCCATGGCGATTCAACGGGAGGCCGAGAATCACTTGATCTCACTGATTCCGAAGGTCTGCGAATCGGACTTTGAGGTGGCCATGTTGGAGCAGCAGGTGCGCGAGCTACGAACAAAAGTTATTGCACAGCGGCAGGCCAAAAGATCAACGATCAATGGCGAGAACTGTACTAAAGATACTAAGGACAGTTCTGTCATGATGGTGAAAACCGAAGCGAACAAGTTCAGCAGCGACGCGCCGCACACGTATGGCGAGCACAGCCCAACGTCCTATGTAAGTCCACCATTTTCCTCTTTTATGAATTGCGTCAAATTTGCCGAACAGAACGTTGCACAAAAATCCGGATTTTTGTCAACGTTAACAGCAATGAAACATCGAGCACTGAAGCTCGGAGCGTATTATCGCTGAAAAAAGCAGACTCTGGCGGTCACGAAAGAAAAAAAAAAGAAAGAAAACTGAGTGGCGGTTTTCCCAGCATTTCACGAGCGCGTACTATGTAGTCTCGGTGTGTGTCTCACTTGCACAATTTTCAAGTACTATATTATAATGCAGTAATTAAGCGTCAAGTATAACGTTTGAAAAGTATATACCAACTTGCAGGTACTTCAGCAGCCGCTTTCCTCCCAACGTGCACCTCATCGTAATACCGCGGCGTGCATCGCCAAAAGTGTAAACCAGGAAATATCACGGCGGCGCGGACTCGCCGCGGACGGTCATCCAAGTGCACAAGAGCTCTTCACAACCACAAACGTGTCAAGTGTAGATCGGAACCGTTATTCTGACAGCATCTCCGAAATTGCCGCCGAGCCCATTTGTCCCGAGGACAGCGAGACATCGTTTGTAGGATTTGGCAGAGGCAGGGGCAGAGGCATCTACGGCGGTGGCAGCCGAACGTTCGAGGTCCAGCCTGGAATGAGGAAGACCCGCCAGCATACCCAGCCTTGCGAACGCAGCGCCAGCCCTAAGCAGGATTTTACCAATGCGCCCGGAAGTCCCCAGAGCCCTACCGTCTCTAGGTGAGGGTTGGAAAAATCGAGGGGCTCGGAAAGAAAAATGTCCTTATGAAAAAAAGATTTTCTCATTTTGAGTTGGCTTTGATTCCTCATTTTCTCTTAGACACGGTGGTTTCCTAGAACGATATAAACACGCTTTAGCTACGAACTTTTAAATTTGATTCTCTTCAAAATACAGATCATACGTTAGAAGCATAACACTTTTATTTACTCTCGTGTGTTTACAATAACAAATAAAATTCTGTTTAAATAGTCGAGTGAACGAAAGATTTATTCCATCTTTCTTCAGATCGTACAGCCAGACGACGAAGAAGAGTGTATGAACGATGCCCGCAACGTGACGGGCTCGTTCAATAATTGAATGGAGCAACACCAAAGAAATCGAGCTTTTAGATTCTCTCGAGTGTTACAAACGTTCAGAAGTCAGAATCTGAAAAAATGGGAAAAGAAGGGAAATCTCCGAGAATGTAAAAAGTGCCGGATAGAGATATCGGAAACGATTCCAAAAAATTCAAAAGAGAAAAAAGAGAACAAAGTGTCGGAGAATATAACAAATTCAAGAGATGGAGAAGTACACACACACACACACACACACACACACACACACACACACACATACACACACAAAATTGGCGTAAAAGGAAATCAAGAGAGATAATTAATGAGAAGAATAACGTCCGATAGCGTAAAAAGCACGCAATCGGAAAATATCAGAAGAAATCCGACAAGAAGAATAAGGAAGAAAGACGAAAATACAAAAAGTGCTGTGTTGAAGAAAATCCGAAGGAATTGAGAGATTGCGATGCGTCTGTTTGAAGTACATATTAGAAGCGACTTTTGTATCGATTATTCTATTTATAGGTGCCTTAAATTCCGCGAAGAGATCCAATAGGTCTCGTCTGAGAATTCATAAACAAATTTTCAAAAAAAATATATATACATGCGTTTTTTTTTTTCTTATTTTATTTCATCAGTTTATGCCGATTTTTCGTGCCACTGAGTTTCTGTGATACGAAGTAAACATTCTTTTTCTTTTGCAACACGATGTGTAAATTTTTATTTAACATACAGCAATGGAAGATACTTTGTAAATAAAAGACGATTTCGTCATCGTTACTTTGTTCTGTGTTGTATAGAAATAAAACGATTGACGCCTTATACTCTTTGATGGAAGCTTAATTAACATTGATTTACTATGCTGCCTAATGACACAAAACTAGTTTAATTATCTTTTTATGGGTGTCTTTTTTGTGAAACTTTCAAGGAAAATATCAAAACATTCATGAATATCTTGTAATAATCAACAATAATGTTGTGCATGTGTTTTTTCCTTCTTTTTTCGTTCGTTATATAATTACTATGGATATCGTTCTTTGTATTATAGATTTTTTTTTTAACAGAATGAACAAGATATATATTACTTTGAAATTGTATTAAAAAAGAAAAAAATACAATGAAAAACAAAGTTGCGATATAAGAGATCTCTGCAAAGATACTATAACATATTGTCTATAAGGCTTCAAACTATTTCTTCGTCTAATATATGACAAATATTGGAATATTTGATTGACTAAACGCTACGACTCACGTCTCACAGTTCGTACCATGTAAACTAAATATATTCGCAGTTTGATAAATGAAATATTTGCACATTATATATTAAGTAGTATATAAAAGTGATATGGATATACGATCATGTGAAATGAAAAGAACTATAGTATTACAAGAGCGTAAGTCGGATACAGGCAACAGCTAACAAGTCTCTTCTTTCACAATAAAGGATCTTGTCCCGAAAAACGCCATTACCGTCGGAGAATTTAGGAACACAGACATAAAAGCAAAAAAATTTCCGAAAAAACTTTAAGTGCATGTCTAAAAGTATATAAATTACTTAATATACATAAAATAATCTTATATTGATAAATAAATATACATAACAAAAAAATATATATATGTATATGTACATACATAACTTAAAGCTCCTGTGAGTATTCGCCATAGTACACATGTAGAATCATGACATCAAAGATAGGAAACGACACGTCAAAAATTGTCGCGTTGGAATAAAAATTTAAAAATAAAAAGATATTTGAATGAAAGATCACTTTCAATCGCGCTTGAGCATATTTGTATAGTACTCCGAAAACTATTTTTTTTCCCTAGCAGTCAATAAATATCCATAAAATTAACGTGACGAAATCATGAGAAAGAAAGATAAACAGATAGGTAGATAGGTAGGTAGATAAATTGGTTGGTTGAAAAGAAAGGTTGCATATCACGTTAATTCTATTATGGCTGTTTATGATTTGATTTATGATTCTCCACGAGAAAAGGACAATTTTCGCAGCATTTTACAAGTATTTTCGCAGTATGTTCAAGCAATCTCTCAGGTGTTCTCTCATATAAATGCCGTTTTAACATGCAAAATTTTTGGGTTTTTCTCGCTTCTAACATCATTGGGTTTTCTCTTGGTCGTTTTCTCGCTTCTAACATCATCAATCAAGAATTCTGCGTTACGGGACCAATGTGCTTATTCTATAACTTTTCATGACAATATCGTTATCGTTGAACGTCGTTGCGTAGCTATTGTATTATGTGTTATATTTGCACGACTACGCGCATAACGCTTGCGTTACAGTTATAATGCAAGCGTCAATAAATTACAGAATAGGTCTGCAGGGGTCTTAAGATGTCAATTTAAAATATTAATAAATTATAGAAAAGCTCCCGTTCCTTTTTTTTTTCTCTTTTCGATTCGCGTTTCTAAACTTTCCGACAATAATACAGACCAAGATATGATGAGGATTACAAGTTACAAAAATGTTCTTTTCGATGTAGGAGTCATTTACGAGAAGCAAACGCCGATTTCAGAATATATCGGCAAGATTGCTCGGCACTCCGATAACCTCCCAGATGGTAGCCGCTAGCCGCCGAGAGTGTTCTAGAACGCAGGTTGACGTAGCCAGACCTAGATGCACACAGTACAGCTCGTGGATACGAACTTTACTAGGCGAGACTTTGGGGAAGCAAGTCTCGGTTAATTTCCTGTGCGAAAAAAAGATGATAATATTTACTTGATTGTCATCTCATATTAATATTTTACATTGTAATGTAAATGTACAGTATAAATATACTCTATATTATTTTTTTGTTTCATTATATGTATTAACGCATAGATATTTTTATATTTTGCTGTACTCTTGCAATACAATACCTATAATAATCTCCACACAATATACCGGGTACTGGGAAATTCTTCATTACATGATTGAGATAAACCTTACACTTTGGCGGTGACCACCCCTGAACATAAGATGAACATCTTTGTTGTTATATATTACGTCTACATATACAAGCGGTCGTATATTACATATTCATGAAGGTCTGTGAAGAACTGTGTGAAGCAGATTATATCTCAAAAAGATTGGATAACGGATATGTTACGACAAGATAAAACGATATTACAAACATTAATAATAGAAACGTCTTTAGATAAAACACATACGGAACTGTCCTCGAACCACAAGAAGTAAGAATAATTGAAAATGGTATCCTTCCACATGACTGACAGGTGGCCCTCTTGCAAATGCATTCTACTTTGCTCGACCATGTCCCAAATCTGCAGGAAAAGCAATAAAAATACAAAAAAATTTTACGTACAATCGAGATTAATCAGTTTTTTCTACTTTAGAGGTGTAGATACAACAATACAGTAGCGCCGTCAATATGATCTAATGCTTCACCTTTGAGATATATTGAGTTAAAATCAACTCGATACCATCTTAATACTTTCAATTCAGGCATTGTGCTTTGATTGTTATGCAAGATGTTCACTTGAAATTTATTCAGAATTATTCCATCTCACCTTTTTCGTCGTGAGGGCGAGGGTTTCTGGGCTCGTAAAGTCCAATGTGGGTGCTACGAGTCTGTGGGTCGTCCTGTCGATGTAAATGAAATGTACCAGGCCCGGAAATTCCTCGAGATACTTGTTGATAGTTAGGGAAGTTGTCGTAAAACAAACCGCATTAAGGAGGCATATTAAGTTACACATTTGTAAATTTCATAGTAAGTTACTGAACACATGTTTGAACTAATATTTCAAAAGGATATGATCCCAGCGTAAAATTCTTCAATGCCTTAACCTTGAGAAAGTCGTTGAAATCGTTGAGTTTTTGCCGGACGAGTCTGCCAACTGTCGTGAGAACATCCAAGCCTTGTTTCAAGAAGTTTCTGTCAAAACAAGTTAATCTCAATAGCTCCCTCAATGTCTCCGCGAAGCCGGAAGTGTTGGCCTCAATCTGTAAGACCATTTCGGGATCACGAGTGCGTAGCAAATCGCCGTACTTCCGTCTTAAGAAATCCCACTTAGTCTGCAATCGTTTCTGGCACATGTCTACGTCGTTGCCGATATTAGAGCGATTCTTTTTAATTCCTTCCAACAGCTTCTTAATCGCTGTATCCAAGTTCTCAACAGCTGACTTGAGCTCGTCCAGGTCCCGTTGCAGCTGCAAATTACTCGCAAGATTTAAATAGCGGAAACTGTCGCACAATCCGGAGGAAGTGGCTGGGTTTGTCGACTCGACGATCGTTATCAGATGAACAGAGTCTGACAATTCGAACACGTGAACCGCGTTAGCCGTGTGATCGTGCTGATTGCCGAGCAACAATGATTGGCTATAGAGACCATCGTCGGTCAAGGATGAAAGACCCTCAGTAACGGAAGATTCTCGGGAGCCTCCTAAGGTGAATGGGAGTTGATTGTAACATGAAGAGAAAATGAGAACTCTATGGTAAACACAATTATACAGCATATGTGAACAGAAGCTCGATGATGAAAGTGCTGTACTGCATGTGCATGTACATATTTGCAAAAATATTTCAAACTATTATATGTGTGTATATATATATATGTATATATATATATATATAT